TCGTGTTGCTAATTCATTTTCCTAACAATATTTAAACTTTATAAAAAATAATGGACTAATGCATACATACTAGGGATGTTGCGAATGCGGAATTTTAGACATCCGCGGATGCGAATGCGGATGTTTAAAAGCTAACATCCGCGGATGCGGATGCCAAGTATTTTTAAGAAATAATTTAGGTAAGCAGATTAGGTGATTTAGTTAAATAAAAACTGGAAAGGTTAGTAACTTTTAATAATGTCTTTTTTTAGTACAGTATATTTTGCTTTGCTGCCTCTGTGCTTAAGTGCACATTTAAGATACCTACCCCAAAATGCGCATCAGAGGCCCTACAATTGCCAAATTTTACAACTTTTTATATATTTTGTTCATCTCGCAGAACAACGAAAATGGCTATAAATTTATGTAGTTATATAGATAATTAGATACTATTCGGTAAAACTTTCGCTTGCAGTAATTTCTACGTGGTAAGTGCTTCTCCATTATTTGGTTTCACAGGGATTTGGATACCTTCCTCATTGAAGTAGTAAAGAAAATTCGCTTAAGTGCCTTTTTCGGTTAAGTGCACAAGTTTTTCGTGCAAAGAGGGATGTGCAGCTAAGCAAAATATACTGTATTTGAATTTAGAAATTGGAAAATTGTATTTAATAACAAGTAAGAAAGTCTAAGTTCGCGCGGAGCCGAACATTAAATACCCGGCGCAAGTATTAAATATATGATTTTCACCTTTCCGAAAGCTACCGCTACATGGCACAATGGTCTGGATCGCCTTTTTTTTGGCACAAACTCGATAAATAAAGGCAGAAGTTTGAAACTTGGTACATTTGCTTAGCATATCATGGATAAGTCATGGAAATTGTTTTGGACAGATTGGGCCACGTCTTGACCCCGAAATCAGAATTCAGGTTCTGAATTGTTTTTAATGCAAAAACTTATAAAACAAGCTGTAAAATGTAGCAATGCATATATTTTATTACATGGCTTATGTACATAAATATGTTAACAATGTCTTAATTAAGATACAATAAGGAGATAAGAAATTTAATAAAACAAACTTTTTTATTTGCTACTCATCGTGTAGTTCTAATTCTATGTCAAAATAATGAACGTCTTGAGCGTCTACATCACCAACAGATTTATCAAGGCAATCTTCATTTGTTTCTAAGAAAGATGGCGTTTGTAACATTATAATTACATCATTGGGTATTTGCCTCTTTTTGTGATTATCGTTTTTGTTAACGCTAAGACTAGAAAGAAACGGATCTGAGGAATCTAAAGCTCTATGAAAAACATCAGTAAGGTTGTTAATTCTGGAATTATGCCTGGCATGTGACCTTCTATCACTTTTATAATACTTATTGCGAGCCTCTGATGCATTCTCGCCCAGGCAGCCAACCGGCAGTATAGATTTCTCGATTATGTCCGATCCATGCACCAATATCTTATGGACAGTTGGTGACATGGGATACCAACTATACTTTGTGAAATATAAAAAATCCGTCTTTTCACAATATTCTTGAAAATTCATTGCGTTTATTTGAAGTTCGCAAGAAAGTGCTATTAAAATCATGTGAAAACGATGAAGCAACTCAGCATCCATCCGCAGAATTGAAGCAAGCATGTTAACATTAGAAAAGGCTCTTCTGGCTGTGTTGCCATCATTTGTATTTCCTGATCCATTTTGATTAGGCTTATCAACATGCAGTCCCATTTCAACCCACATTTTTTCTTGAATCTCCTTTTTGCGAGACATTACAACAGCTTTGCTTTTCTCGTCTCGTTTGTTTCTGTAAGAATGTTCAATACTTTTCCATCTATCAGCGTCAAGTGTAAATCATAAAAAACATTTATTCCGCTATTGACCATTTCACACTTATAGGGGACAAAATTTTGAATTTGCAAGTCTAGTTGCCTTTTTTCATTTAAAATAAGTTCTTTGCTTTCCTTAGCAAATTGGATTTTTAGAGGTCTACAAAATCTAATAGACTGTGGTGCTCTGTTTTTCTACAAAATCCTTCCGAAGTCATCAGTTAACTGCAAAGGAATTACCGTACTGACAAATAACGATTGGTCAAAAGTTTGCGGTTGTGTTTCGCAAAACCGCTGTTTATATAGACTTTGCCCGGTTGTGCCGTCAAAACCGTAGCTGAGAGAGAGAGTTACGTTTCGCACGTCAGTAAAATTGTTAAGTACGCTTTCCTGCAAAGTCAAAATTCTTGATGCTGTATGGTTCAGTGAATTTTGTAAGCTTACTTCTGCAACGGTTTCGGTAACGCTTATTTCTTTGGGTCTGCACTTTGACTTAGCTTCTAAAATACTGGCGTAGCTTGGAAATATATCACAGTTCTGTTGTATGCTCAAAGATCTAATGCTATTGTATTGTCTTTTTGTAAAAGAATTCTCAATTATGAAAGCAAAAGCTTCATCTGCTGTAAGAGGGATTGTAGTTTTTGAAGCCGTCTTATTTAAAATAAATGCAGTGTCTTTTTCTCTCGACTTTTTTGCTGAAACTGCAGCAGCGTGAACGAGAAGTGAAGTACTGTGCTCTCTCGACAAATCTGTAGCAAATTTTCTTTTTAATCGTGATCCTCCTTCTTCGTATGTCAATGATGGTCGTCCACATTTTTGAGGGGTCTTCGCCTGATCGATTGAAATTGAAACACTCTTTGAAAGCCAAATGGAATGTACACTTTTGAATCGCTCTACATGTCTATTGCACTTCGCTAATTTTTTTTTTACATATCCGACAAAAATGGTCACTAACTTCTTAATTTCAGATACTGTGCTCTCCGTTAAAACGTCGCCATTGAACTGCTCTGACTCCCATTCAATCAGCGCAATGGTATTTCTATTATTTTCCAGCCAAACCGACAATAAATTTTCTCGGCAAAACTGAACTTGCTCTGCAATTATATAATTATTAAGAATTTGCGCAAATATGCGCAAGAAATATTAATGTCATATAAAAGATGATACATCAACATAACTATAACTGAGCACCAAAAATTTGGCTCTTACGGCGACTCTTCACTAGTTTTTCTCTACAAAATAACACTACTTTAAGATTCCACTTTATCAAAAAGACTACATCACATAAAAGCTATTTAAAATCAACGGGGGCATTGAACTCATTAATATTTTAACAACACATAAATCTTCATACCTTTCACTATATTTTCCATTATTTTCTTTTATTTGTTACACCGTTTTTTTAAATTAATTTTCAATTAGGAAGCACAACAAATTTTCTGTACACAAAAAGCAAATGAAGCTTTTCACAAAAATATCTGTTTTTGCAGGGTTGTCAGATTACAACACTGACCCAAAGGTTTTTTTTTTGTATTTTCAGCATGCATGGGGGATTAACTAAATGGGCGGTTAATACAATTTACAAAAATTTCGAATAAAAATGTTTAGTTTATGTCAAAAATAATGCCATTTAGACCAGTGTGCATGGTAAGCCGGGGTGTATCAATTTTGAGTAAATTAGCGTCCTTAAACTTCGAAATATTGAAGTTTCAAGCATTTCTGAAATTTATTAGTTCTCAACGTTTTGCTTTTATGTGGCAAGCACAATAACCATACCGAGTTTGGTACAAATTGCTAGAACGGCTACCGAGATACATATATGTGATCATAAGTGGGCGGTGCCACGCCCATTTTCCAAAAATTTATCATAAGCATATTTCTTGGTAAAGAATTGTTCCAAACGTCAATTTTGAATAAATTAGCTTTAATATTTACTGATTTATCGAAGATTTCGTATTTCTCTAAATTACCGTTATATGCGATGTGGGCGTGGTTATTGTCCGATTTTAAAAATTTTCGGCCATTTGGTATGCTGTAGCAAGGCCAACAACTGTGCCAAGTTTGGAAGAAATTGGAGCAGCGGTTACCTTAGCGGTGCTTATTGTCCGATTTGGCCCATTTTCAATACCATCCGTCCTACGCCCGAAAAAGTGCACGTACCAAGTTTCGTTAAGATATCTCCATTTTTACTCGAGTTATCGTGTGCACAGACGGACGGACGGACGGACAGACAGTCACCGCTTAATCGATTTCTCTTTTAATTCTGATCACTTATTTATACATTTGTCTATATCTATCTCGATTCGTTTTGCCTGTTACAAACAACCGTTATGTGAACAAAGTTATAATACCCTTGTGCACAAGAGCCCTCGGGTACAAAAAGTTTTTAAAGGGTCGTAAATCAAACCACTAAATAACTACTCGCTCGAGGCGACAAACTTGAAAAACTTGAAACTTGACAAAACTGTAAATTCTTTTCGATTGACGCTGCACCAGGCGAGAGGTCTTTCAGTTATATTTATTTTTTTATTGCGGTGCAATAATTCCTTTTTGAGAATTGCATCGGGGCTGCCTATGTCGGATGTATCATCCTGACTTTCATCTGCACAATCTAGCGTCATGGCAAGATCGTTGTTTTAACACCGTTGTTTTCCAAAGAATTCTTCATTCACATTATTTTGGTTGTTTCTGAATTTGGAGAACCTGTAACGTCAGCAGCGTTTTTCGATTTTAGTTTTTGTAATTAATTTTTAATCCTTTCTTCTGTGACTGGCCAGATATATGTTTTATCAGTGCACTTACACAATAAGGGTATTCATCAAACCTTATAAATGCATTGTAAACCGTATAAACTTATAATTGTGTAAACCTTATAAATGAACTGTCAAATTTGTATGGAAACTCGTTTACACATTTCTGATAAATTTATCCAGCGATTTCACTGAATAAACTTGATAAACTGAAGACAATGCAACTCTGTCGCAACTCTAGCTATGTTTTCTTAGGCAATAATCGGGATCCGCATACAAATTTTGCACGCAAATTCAACAACGATATGATCCTGATAGAGATCTGGTTCAATTATTATCCCGTCTGTTAGTTTTGTTTCACTGATAATTCGCAAAGTTTGGTAGCCGTGCCAAATGAATTCAAACACAAACAGACATTCTTTCTTATAACTGCTTCACACGATGTGTACATTTGTACAGATTGGTATGTACATTTTCACACTTACAGAGTGGTGTGGTTTGGAAAGTTGTTATTATTTCTAGGCAACACCACTCTGTTACTGCCAAAATGTACAAATCTGTTCAAATTTACAAATCGCGTGATCTCTGCTTATACATTTGATATAATATGTACATACATTTTTGTTTATAAATAAGAATATATTTCGTCACTAGACACGAATAAAGGCGCGAGCTTAAAAGTTGACCGCGAAAAAAGACACATAAAAAAACTTCTGCGAAGAAAGACTTAACATAGTTGACACCGAAGAAAGACGCGCTAACATATTTGACGGCGAAGAAAGACCCGTATACTTATTTCGCGGTCGACTATGTTTGCACTATGTAAATTCCCCAAAGAGTTCTTAGGGAATGATGCTGTGTTGGCGCAACAACTTAAATCTTAGTATTGTTTAATATTTTGTGTATTATTAATTCTGGTCACCTCATGTTGTATTTTCTATGTTCTAGTTCACTTGTTTCATTTACTTTATTTGCTTATACTTCTCTGACCTAGTTATTAAAAAAACGATATTCTTCTAGAAACTTCTACCGACGTCGTTCATGTTTTGTTAAGCTAATTTTTCGTTAATAAAACTCCAATTTAAGTAAATTAAAACGTGTATTATTTTAATTCTCCTACAACAAAACATTGGGGCCGAAACCCGGGAACATACATATTTTGAAGGAAATTTAAGATCTTTCGAAGCGAAGAAAAAAAGCTACGCCAACGAAACTTTGAGTCATCCACTGAATATTCACATATATACATAAATGGCAAATATGGACATAGTCATCGCAGGTCAACGTGGTCGTTGACTTATTGAAAGCTATATCGACGAGATCGAGACGATTCACCTGAAGTTCAAAGGGGATCACGAGCAAATTTGTGACATGTTGCGAGATAATTCCATACAGCCTGATGACGTACCATATATAAAGGATGACGTTTCTTTATCTTTTGTGATGTGTTCTTGTCTTTTAAAGGTAAACTTTTAGACTTACTACACGAGCTTAAGAATCCGGCATCACCCAATTTTCATTCGAGCACCATACAAATGCCGCGTAATGATAGCGTATGCACCGAAGCCCGATTGCGCAAAATTGACATTCCTCAATTTTCCGGTGATTATCTAGGCTGGATATCGTATAGAGATATGGTTGTCTCATTGGTGCATAATAATCAGTCCCTCAGCAAATTTCAAAAGTATTACTTTTTAAAATGCTCCTGCGCTGGTACTCCACTGGATATTATCAATAAATATCCAGCATCCGATGCAAGTTATGAGCTTGCATGGAGTGCGTTACAACAGCGCTACCACAATAAGCGAAAAATTGTTGATACTTTGCTGAAGAAACTTTTTGCCATACCTAAGGCAAATGGATCGCACGAAAGTATAAAGCTAATTTCGGATACAGCCCAAAACTGCTTGGCACTTTTGCGTACAATGGGTGTAAGCACCGATAATTGGGACGTGATTCTTATTTACTTTACTACCAACAAGGTCGACGCGCAATCACGTAAAGAATGAGAGCAATCTCTCAAAGCATCAACTGAAATCCCTGCAGTAAAAGACCTATTTGATTTTCTCGAAACAACATTCCGAACACTGGAAACTATAAATAATCAACGTGCGTCTATGTCTAATCCCTTTTCTGCTGCTGCGAAGGCCGTCAAGCAGTACCCTAGTAGCCGTCAGCCGCTACGCCGAAATGCGTTCTTGACAACTCGTACTTCATCTAATGACGAAAACTGCCCTTGCTGCGAAAGACGTCATATGCTCTACAAATGTTTAAAGTTTGCCGCCTTGCCCGCTGCTGCTAAACGGGACTTAATACAAAAAAGAAAAATCTGCCGTAACTGCTTCACGGTTGCTCATTTTTCATCTCACTGTCGTTTAACTTCACGCTGCCATATGTGCCAGCAACCACATCATACGATATCGCATAATGACTATACCACAAATAATGCTGATTCTGGTGGCGAACAGCTACAAAGCAATTCAACAGCAACAACTTAAATCTTAGAATTGTTTAATATTTTGTGTATTATTAATTCTGGTCACGTCATGTTTATTTTCTATGTTCTAGTTCACTTGTTTCATTTACTTTATTTGGTTATACTTCTCAGTAGTGCGTTTCTGTAACCTTGCGATACACCCAATATCGTAAAATATAACGCTTTTTCACTTTTATCGCAAGCGAGTGTTTCTGTAACTGTGGTGAGAAAAATATTGCGATAAATGATGCGATAAATATATCACTGGCTGTAAGTCAAGTGAAGTTTGGTTTTCGAAGCGAAAAGCGTCCAATATGAGCGAGGTCTGTATGATTTTAACTGATATTTTTATTAATTTCAAGCAAAAAAATTGTATTTTTTACAGAAAAAAGTACGGACGGGAAAAATAACAAAACAACAAAAATCCAAACTGTTGGAACTAATGAGGGCTAACACCCGTGTAGCCAGTGGCCAATTTGTGGGCGTCAGTGGCGCAAAAAATTCCCAACAAGTGTGGGACACGGTGAGGGGGGGAGCTAAATGCATGCGGGGGTGCATGCAAGACCGCTGAACAGTGGAAGAAGGTATGAACTGCAAAATATTTATTGGTTTAATGCCAAAGTATATTTTTTAATTATAAATGGTGAAGTGTTGGTCGGACTGGAAGGTTGCAGTGAAGAAGCAACAAAGTGCCTACAACAGATTCAAAAATTTGACCGGCAACCGTCCTGCCAGTGAAGGACCGAAACCATGTGAAGGTTTGGATGCGGAGGTATTGGAGTTATTTCCAGCAGCAGTCCTTGATGGAGATGGTAAAACAATTGAAGCCGGAGTCCATGAGGTATACTATTTTTTTTTAATTTGTGCATGCATAAATATATTTGAAATACTTTAAATTTTTTGTATTTAAGGAGAACGTGGATGAGACACTCGAAGACGAGTACTTGGCTGAATATCTCATCGAAGACGAAATGCCAAGTACGTCTAAGGCCGCTTCTGCTGAGAAGAAGTTCAATATCTGCGCATCCAAATCGACATTTCATTCATCGCTGCTAGAAGTCAAAAAAAGAACTGTCAGCTCAGAACGAAGTTCATATGAGAAAATTAGATGATATTATTAATATACTCAAGGAAATGAATTCAAATATTTTAACATTAATAAATAAAATACAATAAAGTGAGTAATTTTCTTAGACTTCATTATATTTAAGAAATAAAGCAAAGTTTATTACAAATATGCATGAGCGTCGCTTGGATCGAAGCTGAATTTTCAATATTTTCAAATCCTTATATTTCGAAAATTATTTAACCGATTTTCAAAATAGGGATATCGTTGGAAAAATATTGAAGTACCTTTCATTTGATATGTGTATCTGTATGTATATATAGTACATATATTTTTCGAGAAAAACAACGAAATTATGGCAACATTTTTAACACGCAATTTATTATATTAAAAGATACATTTATCAGAAACGGCACAAAAATACCTTTAATTTGATATACACTGGCGGCAGAAATAATAGACTCGTCGTACTTTTAAGAATTTTGACTATATTTATTTAGTTTATTTTATGTTTAATATTTTTTTATAAAAGCCTAGGTAGTTATGCAACAAACATCATATAAATGCGCTTTTCAAACATTGAACCAAAATTAAAAAAATTTGACTAATTTTCACCAAATTTTCAAACTCTTTATTCAGAATTTTAGAAAAATTTTTGGTATGCAGTTTTGTAGCCCATTCAATTTTAGTATAATAAAGTGCAAGTTTCAATTAGCTAAAAAATACCGTTGATTTTTAACATTTTTTTTTTTGCTGACGATGTCACGCATTTTTTCCCATACAAAGTGTACTCGACAATTTTTTTATATGGAAGGGAATGCCTAGCATCGTCATCAAACAAAATTTTCAAAAATTAACGGTATTTTCTAGTGACTTGAAATTTGCACTCTATTATACTAAAACTGGATGGGCTACAAAACTGCATACCAAAAATTTTTCTAAAATTCTGAATAAAGAGTTTTTCAAACTTTCAATTTTGTGAAAATTAGTAAATTTTTTTTAATTTTTGTATAAAGTTTGAAAAGGGCATTTATATGGTGTTTGTTGTATAGCTAGCCAGGCTTTTATAAAAAAATATTAAACATAAAGTAAACCATGGAATAATAGCCAAAACTCTTCAACGTAAGGCGAGTCTATTATTTCTGCCGATACTGTATGTATGATTTGTAACAAAAATTCTTCGGCACATGATATTTCACTAAATGTATGTATATTAAATATCGTTTCATATAAACAAGAAAAAAGAGCCGCAAACACACATCTTTATTAAAAAATGCCATATTTTTTTTATCTTCTCTCGAAAAATATATACATATTAAAGGAAAGGTCTTTCAACTAACTTTCCACATTTTGAAAAACGGTTTCTTTAGTTCTCGAAATATTAGCCGCCCCTATTACGGTAATTTTTAGCCAATAGAAACTTGCACAGTATTATACTTAAATGAAATAAGAATCAATAAAAACTGTAGGTATACTCAAAAAAATGTTAAAACTTCTGAGAAAAAAGTTTGAAATTCAAATGAAGATGTTTTGAACCTCTTAAGTTTTCTATAAAGTTTTAAACTTGGGTTTATATGGTTTTGAATTTGAGTTGTAATGGTATGACCGGTACTGTATTTATATAATATAATATAATACATTTATTTTTATATATGTAGTATATAACGTGGACAAACAGATTTAAGGGTTGTCACATGTTAAATAAGTAAAATTTAATTTAATTATTACTTAATAAAATCAAATATAAGTTTGTTGGTCACCATATAACGCCAGGAGAACTTGATGGGTTTGGATTCGCTTATAAACATACAGCTGCGTCAAAAGTATATTTTTATAATAGTGTCGGTTGAAACCCGCGTGTATATGCTAAATAAATAAATTTAATTAAAATAGTTTCGAACAAGGTTTTCGCGAATCCTTCGCGCATCCTGCAAGATTGTAGCATTAGATTCCATGGTCTCATGCTCACCTATATCTATATTGGTATCTTGGGTATAATTTATTTCGGGCATAGGCATATTGTGCAATTTTCTGAAATTATGCAGCGTAAGACAAGCGTTGATGATAGCGCCCGAATAAACTGGGTTGAAAAGAATGCCGCGATCACTTGACAAACACGCGAATACTTTTTTTAATACACCATTCAATCGCTCAATGCAGTTACGAGCTTGTATGTGGTGATTATTGAAATTTTCTTCGCCCCTAGTTTCAGGATTTCGGTAAGGTGTCATTAACCAAGGCTGAAGGGGGTATCCGGAATCGCCAATAAGCCAGCACGTGTATATGTTCTGCTCATATTGTTGCTGCATTAATTGCCTAACTTTACAATTTTCCCAAATAAATGCATCGTGTGTACTTCCCCCGAAACGTGCATACCCAGCTAAAATATTTAAATCGTAGTCACAAATCAGCTGCACATTTTTTTGAAAAGAAGCCTTTGCGATTAATATAGCAATACTCATCCTCCGCAGATGGTTTTTTTATTTTAACATGTGTGCAATCTATTGCACCTATCACGCCCGGAAAACCAGTAGCATTGAAAAACCTAAAATATGTTTGTTTGTTATGAATAAAAATACTCTGAAAACTTATGTATGTACATTAAAGTGGTCCAAAAATGTTTATAAAAAAATAAGGTCGGATTTTTAATGCCGCCACCCCCTAGGATTGTTATATACCGAAAAAAATATGCCCCTATTTTTTATTTTGAAATAAAAAAAATTAGGGAGTGCTCAAAGCGCTCAAAGTTTTTCATGTCTTTATATGGGGAAAAACAACTTTTCATAGAAATAGTGTAGAATTCTTGAAAATCAATATTTTTCGATCGAAAAACACTGCTTATCTTCAGGAGATTCCCAGTAATAATAGGCAATTGCATACAAAATGGTTAAATAAACAATTGTATATTGATACTGGAAGTCTCCTTAAGAGAACCACAGTTTTCCGATCGAAAAATATTGATTTTCAAGAGTTTTATACCATTTCTGCGAAAAATTGTTTTTTCTTCATGTAAAATACATGGAAAACTTTGAGCAGTTTGAGTACTGCCTAAATATGTTTTGATTTCAAAATAAAAAATAGGGGTCAATTTTTTTCGATGTAGAACAATCCTAGGGGTGCCGGCAATCAAATTCCGACTTTATTTTTTTGGACCACTCTAATGTACATACATATATCATTACCTTAATTCACAAAGGCCCGAACCAACAATTTTTTTTTATTTTACAGGAGATGCAAAAACAACATAAAAGAGCTTTTTAAAAAGTGGCATTTAACTCCATTGTTTTTGGGACTAACACTTTAACATTTTTATTGAAGGTATATTTTAATATATACTGCCAAAATCTGTGAAAAACGCAGTTTCGAAAAAAAAGTTTTGGTTAGCGCCTTTGTGAATTAAGGTAACGATATGTATTATTACCTTTGTCGAATTCTATTTTTCATTTCCAAACTAGTTGGAAATTTAATGTATTTCATCATTATCTTATTTTGAATGATAAGAGTCACTTCATTAATAGATCTGCAAATCGTAGTTTTACTTAGTGGACACACAAAATCTTGCCCGATATCTCTTAAAAAGGATCCAGTAGCATAATAATGCAATGCCGATACCATCCTTATAGCCTTTGGTACAAAAGTTATTCGTATACCATCCTTCATATACGGACTTATTTCACCAAGAAGTTCCAGCGCAGACTCCTTATTCAATCTAAATAACTCAATGAAACGCGCTTCTGGCAAATAAAATGGATCAGTATTATCCCTTAAAAAGCGCCTATGAATGCGCAACATGTTCCTTTGATCATCAGCCAATGCAAGTAGATGTGCAACCATCATTCTATATTTTAAATGATTTAAATAATCAAAATATATAAAAATTATTACTTTTACTTCAATTTCTCACAACTATACAAGAACATATGTTCTTCATTCTGACAATTCGTGTAATTTTTACA